TATATGGTACTAGATCCAAATACATAGCTGTTACATCCTATTATAGCTGAATAGTAATTTTTTGTAATCAAAAACAGTTATAGCTTTGTCTGTAGTCCTTTCAAGATTAAGATTGTTAAGAACAGCTTGCCTATAAACCAGGCCTGTATCCGTTATGTAAACTGCTAGGGAGGTAAACTGAGCATCTAAGAAATCCATGGATTTCGTAGGAAAAACATTATTCAAGCCTTCAAGAAATCAGTACAAGAAATCAGTGTTTTAAACCTAATGAATGCTGCTCCTACAAATACAATGCTCGAACCACGTCATAACTGTTAAAAATCTTTTGACACTTCATGAATAAAGTACATGTACTATATGTATGTAGGTTTCAACTATCAATTTCGATTCTGCAGTGTCCACATTGATTTATTCGGGGTCTCGTAACTGGTTAGTAGGGCAATCCAATTTAGCTTATTCTGAGGTACAAATTATCGTCTGTCCAAGTAAGGTCATCAAATGAAGAGTGAGATGGTTAGCTTGCTATAATAACAAAAAAGATGGCACGATCATGATCTGGTGCATGAATACTTCCGGGAAATAAGCTGTAAGGATATTTTGCAGGTCCTTCAAACTGAAATAAAATAAAATAAATAGACAGGTTAAAATGATTTCACAACAAGTGTTACAAAATGTATATTGCAAGGGCCACATATTTGTATACTGTCATTCAATTATTATGAGATTTTTTTGCAGTTAATAATTCTTTTGAAATGTTTAAAAGAGGGCATATTACCTTCATCGGCTAGTCAGTTTAAATCACAACAATAGACTTAAGTAACCGTTGGAGTTTTTGCAATATTTCAGCATACTGTATTTCGGAAAGTCAAAGTCTGAATTTCGTTGGATGACAGTAGTGCCTTAGGTAATAATTTCTCTGGAAGGTGTTCACAAGATAGCCTGGTACAATTTGGCAGTTTACTTCATACATTAAGATGTGTATGTTAAAGAAATACAGCCAGATCATAACTTTTGATCTGACAAAAAGTTTCTTGTCCAAACTGGCAATGTAAATAGGCAAGTTGGGAACATTGAACGGAAAGAAGTGTTGAAATTATCTGCAATATCAGTAGACAGTGAATTAGATTTTTGCAATCGTTTTAATTGTGTAAATGAGGAAGATGATTAACAAGTGATGTACTATCCCCCTTAAATAATCTTGTACCTGTCCCAACTAAGCTCATAATGTTTTAAGGAGCTTTGTGAAGAGGATATTGAAATTTGAGTTCAATTCTGTGCTGACGTCATTACTCAGTTCCCTTTCCTCACAAAACGTCCCTGAAGAGATATCAAGAAGATATCAAACAAATTTAAGCAAAGAGCACTCACCATATGTAGTATTACAATTAGAGTCAGAGTTAGCCAAACTATTTCAAGTTTCAGCCTATGTCCATCATTGCTATCCGTAGCAACAGACGCGACAAGAAAAAAGTTCCGATGCTTAAATAGTCTTAAGTATTAAAACTGGATCATTTTCTTGGTATTCAGTTGATGCAAAGACATGTTTCAACAGTATTTTAAAACATAGCAAGTGGCGTGACATACGGGTCTACAGGGTTCACTTCAGTAAAACTCGCTTTACAAGTTTGATTCACTGGCTATTCTTTTCAGACCCAAAAATAATAGCCACACTTTTAAATTCCACTTGCTAATTACCAACTGACCCCTGAGCCCAGTTGCTCGAAGGCCGATTAGTGCTTAACCTGGGGTTAAAATGAAGCCTGATTTCTTTTTCTTATTTCAAAAGCATTTTCTCGGATAATTTTCTCTGTTGTTTTTGGAGCTTCCAGTCATCAACTTGTAGACAAAAAGAATTAAAACAGAAATACTTTTCAAGCTTTCAAATCTGAATTCAAATCTCGCACTAACCCCCAGCTGGGCCTTTCTCGATTTTGCTAGTAAATCTGGCATTTAATGCTACTAGAAATTCTCGCATAAAGCCAAAAAATGCTAAAATAATGCCTGACTTCTTTGAAAAATGCCACTTGAATTCCAAAAAATGCTTTGTTTTATTTCAAACAAAACATACAAACTCTTACATTATACGCTCATATCAACAACAGGTGATACTTAATAATTGTTTGTTTATAAAACTTGGGGTCAGAATTAAAACTTCTCCAGCCAACAGCCACTAAACAGTCATATTTGAAGCACTACCATGCGCTGGGTACACACAACCTAGACTAGCACAATTCTGTTCAACTTCTAACTCACAGAAAACGTTTACGTTTCAGTATACTGTAAGCAGTTGCGAGCGCTTATCGCTTGTTGTATTGTGCCATCACACTGGCTTGAATGTAATCGACGAGAGCGCAATCTTGCTGCTCATTTAATGAGGCTTTCAGGATTGAAAACACCCTTCTGAGTGCTGAAATCTGGATCACAGTCATAAAAAATGACAGAAAATGCTAGCAATTCTTTTTCAAGAAAAAACGAAAAAAAAATGCTCGTTTTCCTAAAAAATGCCGAAAAAAATGCTAGCATAATCGAGAAAGGCCGACTCCCAACTTCGAACAACAATTTGGCCCTGGTAGTGCTATGCCAGTCCATGCCAGTGTGGCCTGCAAGCTTACCTGCAAGCCACGTGGTGATCTTCCCATCGATCTATGCGGGTGTAACCGTGCCCTAGTCCACCGCTTTATCATGGCGGATGATGTAAACAATGTTGAAAAATTCAGTGAAAAATTCACTGGTTTGTTGTTCATTTTAAACGCCTGCTTGGCATAATTCGTTGTAGGCTTATTGGTTTCTTTATGTTCTTATAAGCTGGGAACATAATGACTTTTTTGTCGTAGAGGACTTGATCTCTGGTAAGGTACTGTGTAACTTATTTAACCACCAAACTTGCAAACCTTAGTTGTACATGTTTGCTTTAAGCTTAGATCAGTTGAAATTGATATGACTTATATTTAGATATGCTTTGTATCCATGGTCGTCTTGTTACAGGAGTGGCTGTATCTGAGCACTAATTTATGTTCTTCTGAAGANACCTGCAAGCCACGTGGTGATCTTCCCATCGATCTATGCGGGTGTAACCGTGCCCTAGTCCACCGCTTTATCATGGCGGATGATGTAAACAATGTTGAAAAATTCAGTGAAAAATTCACTGGTTTGTTGTTCATTTTAAACGCCTGCTTGGCATAATTCGTTGTAGGCTTATTGGTTTCTTTATGTTCTTATAAGCTGGGAACATAATGACTTTTTTGTCGTAGAGGACTTGATCTCTGGTAAGGTACTGTGTAACTTATTTAACCACCAAACTTGCAAACCTTAGTTGTACATGTTTGCTTTAAGCTTAGATCAGTTGAAATTGATATGACTTATATTTAGATATGCTTTGTATCCATGGTCGTCTTGTTACAGGAGTGGCTGTATCTGAGCACTAATTTATGTTCTTCTGAAGATGATCTGACTGAAATTTCCCTGAAAGTGTCTAGTTTTTCTAGACACGCTTTCAGAGATCGCTCGAAAGAAACTTGAATAGGGCAAGCAGCTCTTGACTAACATTTTGCTTACCCGACCAGGGCCACTTCTTGCTCGTCTTAGTTGATGACTTTGTTAGAGGATGACTTTCCTGGACCCTCTCCCATTGGGTAAGAAGGCTATGAAAGTGACTTGCCCGGCACGAAAATCTAGCTATGAATTTGTCCCGGACTATTAGACGGGACTTTTTTCGGGCACAGCGTTACACTCGGACCTCGCATTGGAATGAACATGTTTAATGTCCTGATCCAGTGAGCCCAGCATGCTCCACATTAGTTTTTCACCATTATACGGATTTTTGTCCACACCGGTGAAATGCTGGGAGATGGAGTAGAAATACTATCGAAACAGGTAGACTGTTTTTTCGCAGACACGCGAAACAGTTGCCTCTGCAGAGACACATATTTGAATTAAGCCCACATGATCTATCCCTGACGCCTCAAATGCAAGCATACGTGATCGCATTCCTTCACATTCCTGAGAATTAAACAATGGCGGGCTTCTCCATAAACAAACTTCACAATTCTTCATCAGGAATAAATTATAAACACTCTAATTTATTCGTTACAATTCGCATGAGATCATTGAAGGTAGACACCTCATTTTCGTCCGCTGTAATTAGTTCGCATTGATCTTCCGGAAAAGAAATATCATAGTACACTTTTAGCTGGATCATGTTGTATTACTACACGAAAGCAGCTAAGCGACGATAGACAGCGAAAGCGCGAGCAAAGAAATGTGAAGGAATGTTATCATGTGGGTTTGCCTTTGCAGATAACATCTCTTTAGACACGTGACCAAAAACGATCACCTTTGGCGCTAACAGCAACTGTTACGTACGTCTGCGAAAAAACAGTCTACCTGTTTCGGTAGGTGGCAGTCATTTTTTCTCCACAACTACAATAAGATGTAGTCACTATTTTGCACTGTTTCCACCAATCCCCACTTTAGTCTGACAGTGAGGGCACTTTTTCATTTTGAGTTACATGGCAAACTTTTGCGTCTTCATTCCCACAAGCTTTTGAGATGTTGTGACAGCAACAACATGATGGAAATAGAAACCAATCTTTTCGATACAAAGTTTTTTCAATACAAATTCGATACAAACTCAAGCAGTGAAACTGTACAACAATTGCCATTACTTCAAGTATAGTTTGTGTCAAATGAAGAATGATCCTTGTAGTTGTGAATGCAATTTATGCAACTGCATGTGAAGCCTGAAAAAAGTCAGGACTTCAACTGGATTTAAACCCGTGACCTAGCTATACCACTGCAACGCTCTAACCAACATTTAAAGCTATGAAGCCACCCCACTTACTCAAACCCCGTTGAAGTGCTGAAGTCTCAGGCTTCTTTACGCAATTGCATAAATTGCGTTCACTGTGACAATCATTTCTTCATTTTCACTTCATTTCCGCAGTTCATATATGATTTATTTCATATATCATTAACACTGAAGCCACTTATGTTGGGACCAA